TTTTCCTTCGAAGAACTGTCCAAATATTTTCATTGGCAAAAAATTAAGATATCACATGTACGGAAAATTACAATAAAAAATAGCAAAAATCAAGTAGACATGGCAGTAAAATACGACTTTATGCAAAGCGAGGAGAAGTTGAACCTAATGAAAAAAAATGTTCAATGGTCAACCATGAAACACTGTGAATTGCCTAAAGCTTACAAGGGAAAAATACCTTTAAAAAAAAGAAAAGTGGATGATATTCAACAAATGATTAGTAAACGGTATATACCGTCTGAATTTCATGATTTTCATAATACAATTAAAGAAATATAGAATAAACGTTTGAATTTTCAATATATATTATGCTTTTCTGATTTACTTTAAACCGGAGACGTGCAGTTTTCGCGGCTTAACAATCTGAAATATGCTACTCTTCCAAGCGAAAATCTGAAATGTGCTAGTCTTCCACGCAAAAATCTGAAATGTGCTAGTCTTCCACGCAAATAACGAAATGTGGACTGAGAAATATTATTTTCTACTTTTTAGTCCATTTATAAAAGCGTTGTATATTAAAAAGTTTTTTTTTTTATATTATTTATTCTAATGTAGAGTGGACGCTGTCTACCTCCACACTTTTTACCTTTGTTAATTGTCGGATTCCAATTGCAAGCGATCAAATTAAATAGTAGAATCTATGTAGTGTAAGTGGTATATGCATAGATATGTATGTATGTATGTATTTAGTTGGTTTATAATTATTTTTTTTTACATCGAAATCAAAGCACACCCATCAGATTCGCCTGCGATCAAAAACAGTTATAAGCAAGTAAGCGTATACCCGTTTTTTTTAGAGTATTTCTAGTACTGTGGGCACATAGCTGTTTTTGGTCAGTTCTAAACCAAAAGAAAATAAAGTCCTAAACCAAAAGGTAAACTAAAGAGAACGGCTAATGCAGTAATGTGGGCAATAGATAGTGTTAATAAAATATGTAATAAAAACAAAATTTACAAAAATCACATGACCGATTTTGTTGGCGCAGCGATGATATAATGCTTATGAATTGCATTTTTCTAAAAATCATTCCGAAAGGCGACGTGGTTAACAGGTCTATTCTGCGCTGGTAATAAAAACTTTGTAACCGGTAAATAAAGTTCCTGTCAATTTTTAAACCCTTTTCGCATTCTGTGTACTCTTGTAACCGGTAATTTTTTTTTCCATCTCATAAGCTGGTAACAAAGTATTGCCCCGTGAAATATGCAATGCCAGAGTTTGCACAATTCTTCATAGCTGAATTGCTGAATATTTTAACTGCATTACCAACGAACCAAGAATCGCGGTGACAAGAACTGGTAACATTTTTTGGTAATACAATTTTCCGGTTACAAAATCATCGGTAACGTGCAGAATAGACTTGTAAATGTGTTACTTCTATGAACGGAAAATTTAATTGTTCGGTGGAATCTTGTGCATTTTTTGCATCAAGCATAAGTGAAGTGTATTCACATATTTTAAAGCATTTTGTTTGCTGTGAAAACGTTAATTGTCCAATACTTTCGACGTAAAAATGGTTTAGAGTGTAAACATCTGGACGTTGTGACCTGCAATTTGCGATCGACCGTTTTTGAACCGGTGTTTGATTTTTTAATATCGTTGTTGTTATTGTAACTTTTGTACAACATAATACCCAGAGGATAAGCAAAAAAACATTAAGTTATTGCTTTTTTTAATGTAAACTTTGATATGAAAATTTTTATTTTTTTGCTGCTTAACAACTCCAGCTCGAGTGGAAAATTATATATACATATGCGTGTTTTTCAACAAAATTCCTTTTCGAGAAAACGTTTTTCTACAAATTTCACATTTATAGTATCCACGTTTTATAGTTAATATGGTAGATTAATGCTCAAAAGAAAAACATTTTCTGAGAAAATTTCCAGATTTTGCGCTAGTTGATGGTGAGAGCACTGGGGCCCTTCTGTTAAGGGGCCCAGTCAGCATTACTTCTTTTGCTGACCGTTAAATCCGCCACTGCTAATAAATGAAATAATAACACTACTGCAATAGGTTGGTCAAACTTAAAAATTAGCTAACAAAGTTACTTTCAAATACTTAGTAAACGAAAGTTGAAAAGTAGTCGAGTGATAGTCGATTCTAGTCTAGAGTGGTTTGAATTTACTAAAAAGTCGATCGACGAAGAAAAGTCGACTTTTTAATAAAAAAAACATTACCATTTAACTATATGATTTTTATAAATATAAGGTTTAGAATATGCCAATAATATCATGATTTTCAAGTGGTCTTTAGGATAATACATATCGTCGTTTAAAGTGCAAAACCGCGTATCAGCAAAATGCTAAACCGCGTATGTGAAGTTGCAGAAATTATTTTCTAGAGCGTAAAAACACTAATTTTTCAAAATGGTTCTCCTTTTTATAAAGCCATCGAATTTCTGGCTAGTATATTTCAGGACGAATGGATAAGGATTGAGCCAAGAGCTTGTGTGAGCAAATCCAATTTTTGGTAGCCAATGTCAGTTACGCGGTTTTGCAGAATGACGATACGCGGTTTTGTACTTTAAACGACGATATGTATGTAATTGTATGTGAAATTCAATGCTGCGTAAAAGACAACAAGACATAGAAGCATTTAAAAAAATTTTGAAAATTGTGCGAGTTATACAATACGAAAATATTGGCTGTGAATATTTTTCATATTTTTAACCGACTTCAAAATACGGAGAAGGTTATTAATCCGTCGGTTCTGTTTTTTTTTTAACTTTGTACCACGTCAATTGATTTCGATAATTCTTTTTACATCGGAAAGGTGGCGTCACAAGGGTGGTCCCATACTAATTTGGTTTAGATCCGCTCATTGCATCACCAAGAAATTAACGATAATCTTAAAATTTATATGGGAATTGAAGTCGGCTTTGTTTTTTGCTTAAAAATTGCTGTATATTTTTGAACAATAAAATAAAAAAAAAAAAATTTTCACAAAAAAATGGCAACAAATTTCTAAAAAATTTCTTGAACCGATATTTGGTAATTTTGGACCATTTAATGAAAATTTTTTACCATACAAGAAAATTCCTTGTTATTTACCTCTAATTTAAAATACAACTTTTATGAAGACTCTGATTTGATCACAAATTAAGAATCAGCCGTTAGTTACGACATTGTGAAAATACTTTTATTCAAACGTTCACTTGATATACATACATTTTAAAGTGAAATGGAAAAATTCTGCGTCTTAGCTACGCATAAATACGAGTTGGTTTAAGTGCTTTTCGAGATTTCGATTTCTAAGCTGCGTTGCTATAAGCCCTGTTTGGGACAAAAGCATTTCCAACGGAACAGAGGTGGGGAGTATTGATAGAAATTTAAGTGCCATTTTATAAACATGGGTATATTTTCCCTTTAAAGTTGCCCAGGCAGCTAGTGGATTGGGATTATTCACACACCTAATGATCACGCTATTTAAATAATGTCTCATTTCGAGGACACCAGCAAAATGTTTAATGTTTGAATGTTTAAAATAAACAGCTACATATATCTTACTTCATTATCAACTGAAGATTCTGCAGACAAAGGATTAACAATATTACTTTTATCCACAGAAGAAGGTATTACTTTTAAATTCGTAGGAATTTGTTTTCGTATAATAATTTTATGCACTGCTCTTAAGTGATTTGAAAATGCTGCTGACTGTTATAAAAATTAATTTCTCTACCACGTTTCTCACATTTCGCTTTAGTTTTATTGGCAACTTTTGAAATAAGACAAAACAGCACTCGGCGCCATTGTTAGAAGAAAAGTTTAAATAAAGTGATGCTAGTCCGAATAAATTTAAAAAAAAGGTCGAGAGTCGAGAGTGAAAAGTCGTCTACAGTTGACTTCCATAAATTGAAACTCGATTTCCCAGCCCGGAAATAAAGAGCCAACTTTTATTGTATGTATACATATGTACATATTTTTAATTTTGTGCTTATGTTCATACGTATATTTACTTAAGCGAATCAATATTTTACATCAAAGATTTTTATAATATATTTTCTGGGAAGTAGAAAAAGTGGAAGGTATTTTATGTACAGATATATATGTAAACAAAACTACTAAGTATCATATATTTTCTATAGATTTACAAATATTTCTTTTTTTGCTTTTCTCTTATCAAAAGAGTTTTAAATACGTACTATTTTTATTTTGTATAAACACAAAAGCTCATCTAAATTTTTACTATTAGCAACGGGCTTTTTCGTGCCTTTTCGTGCTTTTCTGAAATTTTACTGAACGCCCAGGCCCGCACGAGTTCGTGCTGACAGCAAATATTCCGGCCCGTACCCGCGGGCTTACGCAGGGGCCCGTGCCCTTCTCTAATCTGAGGTGACTGAAATCGATTCCAAAAAGTCGAGTTTTTTCAGCGAAAGGTAGATTCTTGACTAAAGTCAGAGTCGACATTTACATTATTAATTAGTAGTATTCATAGCCACAACTTTGACAGGCAAAAGGAGTCATCGAAGAGAATACTAGGTTCATTATATTTTGGGATATTGCGAAAAAAATTAAAAAAAGAGAAACAAATTCTAAAACAATATTTACTCAAAATTGATATATACAATGGCTCTTAAGCAAAAAATTTATTTTTCATCAAATTTTAGGCAAATGGACGTGGCACCGCCCAATTATATCATATATGCGTATCTCAAAAACTATTTCACCGATATCGACCAAATTTGATATACACATTGTGCTTGGCCCTTAAGCACCGTGTGGAATTTTTTGAAATCAATAATTTTTTGAATCAATTTTGAGTAAATATTGATGAACACCTTAGCCAGACTGCTCAAAAAATCTGCACGTCCGGTACATACACACATATAAATTCAAAGCCTTATTTTTGCTTAAATTGCTTAACTTCAACAATTTTTATGCAATTGAGGTATCAATTTATTCGAAAATAAATGTTATTTTAGATAAATACCGGACATTTGGAGACTTTTGTAGACATTTTTGATATTACCGATGATCAAAGTTCAAAAAATTAAGAAATATAGGGCGATGAAAACTTCCAACAAGCTAAGTATATTGTTATACATCGTTTTAAAGGTATATACATCCTCTTTCTAAGACTTGTTCGATTTTTACAATCGGACGGAAAATAGTGAAGCTATTAATAGATAACTGCATCAAGTACGAAAATAACTGTTTTTTTTTTGTATAAAAAAATTGAGGGTTCAGGAACTATACGGGACCTATTTTCATGTTGTACTCGACCATACCTACGACCTTAACTAGGTTTTGTTTCAGGTGTATTTCATGCCTTTTTTTAGCACCGCGTTTTTTCTACAAACGCTTGAGCATCAGTATCTACATACGTATGTATACGGATCCCGGACTTTTTAAGGTCTCGGAAATCCCTTTTTTTATTTAATAATTAATATTTTTTTATAAATGTCTAGCTCGATATACATATAACACCGCGCGATAGTAAATTTTAAACACAAATATCAATATATTCGCGAAACCATGGGCCAACTATAGTAAAATTGCGTTTTTAGTTTTTCACTCTGACGTCAGTAATTTAAAAATTATTTAAAACATTCAGAGAAATGTGCTTAGAGAAGAAGTATGGTTATAAAATAAATGAGGAAATCCTGTAGAATTTAAACGGATTCAAGTTTCTGATGCAGAAGGGCTGGCAAATATTGAAAATGTCATTTTAACCCTCTAGTAGGCAGAACCGCCTCGAGACGGTCGTTAACTAAACACCTTTTTAGTGCACTTATAATAATTTTTTTCTATATTCGTAAGGCACAATCTTTAGACAAAAATCGTACCCTTACGGCGAAGTAAATTTTAATCCGTTATGTCAATCCGTTTTATTTTAATCGGCAGTTGAATTACAGATTTTGAAAACACGGTTAAAATTAATTATTTCTTGCTATTTAGTAATTTCGTAATTAAAGAAATTTTTTCTTTTGAAAAATTTTTTGATATAAAAAAATTCGGTGGATTTCGTTGTTAAAAGCACCGTATTTTGATATAAGTTTTATAATTATGTCACCATTCGAAATGGTGAAAATTGCTTTCGAACACAGACCGTCCACAGACCGGCTTGCCGACATATAAAACCCCAGTTTTGCATTTTTGACCGTCTGCAGACGGCATTGCCGGTTCGTAGGTCAACATTGTGTAAGAGAAAGCTGAAAATATGTGTAAGTATATCGGCGAGCCCGTCTCAAGACGGCCTTGGTTTTTCTCCCCTGTAGGAAAAAGTTACTGTCACAGATCGAAATGGACATCAGTTTTGGATTTCTCGTGCTAAAATCACCCATTCCTGAATTTTTCAACTAAAAAAATTGGCCTACTAGAGGGTTAAAATTTTATCCTTGAAATTTCGCAATATTTGTTTTTGAAAAAATTATATGTTAATGGCTTATGTAAACTCGGTAACATCCTCGAGTTTCGTTCTTCTAACTTTGTCAGCTTAAAAATTACCCATTCGTCTTTGTGAATCCAAAAAATTTTAATTTTTTAAATTCGAAAGAAATGTCCTATTGCATTTGTTACCCATATTTTTATTCAACAGTGGATTGAATTTTTTTTAACAATTTTTGGAATTAATCGTATCTTTGAAATTACAAAGTCCTCTAAAATAAATCCTGTGGTAAGAGAGAAAAAATAAAAACGCCACTTTAAATAAAGTTGTTGAAAAGTAATGAATATCTAAATCCCGAGACTAATACCGGGAACCCGGGATTGTGACAACGCCATCCCGAAAATCCCGGGATCGGAAAAAGCCGAAAAATTAACATCCCTAGTATGTAGGTATGTATATAGCTGGTACATATCCCCCTGTAGGAAAACGCAAGTGCCATGACTTGTGCGCGTTTATTCTCTTTTGCATGATAGCAACTGGCGAATTTAACATTGTGATGTCCTACGAAGTGTTTATTGCTATACCATTACACAGCTCATCGTTCCGTCGTCTGCGGTATTCGTCATCGCCAGTGCGCAAAGACCCGTGAATGTTCCGCATACTCTTTCTTTCAATCGTACTTTTTTGGAATCAACTCTCTGCGCTTTTTCTTCTTTCTTTTTTTTTTTTTATTTCAATAGCTAATGTTTTTAGCGCGAAGAATAAGAGAGTTAATATGTACATACGTCTGTCATATTCATATTAGGAATAACAGGGGAGAAACCAATTCCGAAGCAAAAATCGCCTTAGCATCGGGTTTCGATACGAGTACTTTTTTCGATACCTGCTCAGTACTTGGTTCAAAAATACCAAAAATACTTGGTATCGAACGAAGGTATCGAGTATGCACTTGTATTTACTCGTATCGTTTTATCCCTAGTACTGAACAAATATTGGGTCCACTATTTCGGGTTTTCTCTGCAGGGATACCTACACACTAGGGATGCCAAAATATCAGGAAAATTGGGATCCCGGGATTTCGGGATATTTTTTAGGTGATCCCGGGATCCCGGGATTTATCCCGGGATTCAAATTGAGTCATAAATTTTATGAATATAAGTAAAAATTCAATATCTGAAAGCATTTAAACATACCATTAAATAAAACTATTTACAATTTACGATAAACTGATTGTAAAACTCATATATCGCATCACAAATAATAATGTAAATACCAGGTACTTTTGAAGGTGACGATTAATAAAAAAAAACATAAAACAAAAATATACAAAAACAATTTCTTTAAACATGTTTATTCTACTCTATAAAGAAATGGCGAATGGAGAATTTTTTGCCATCTTTTTCGCAATTTACTAGAAATTTTGAGGGTGTACGAGTCAAACGGATCTCAGGATCGGATTCAGCGGGTCGAAATACATGTTGGTAGTTGGGTCTGGTTAAAAACACACACCCCTTTTTTGCCGGTGTTGTTATTATTGCACTTAAAATGTTTTCGTAAGAGCAGCAAAGCATTCAAAGCGGAGTCTTCTAAGCTTGAACTGCAGTTTTTACATACAAAACCTACTGATGAAAAACATATTTCGGCATCAACACTTTTAGGCTGAACTGTCAAAAGGTAGACGTAATCCATTTGAAGATAATGACTCCTATCTCCTCCATTACAAAATATTTGAACTTCTTTTACCAGTACGTCGGTCAAATTATAAGTTTTTCGATTTGAGGGAGTTTTGAGTAGATTGATCTAAAAAATTATCTATCTTTTCCGTAAAACTCTCTGTTTCGTTTACATTAGCGACGCTATGAGTAAATTCAGTGAAATCTTCTTCAAAAAAGGCTCAGACTGCAATTTAAAAGTACAGTTTCAAGCTTTTTGTTAATTGCAGTCATAACGGCATTTTACAAAATCATACTTGAAAATTCATAAAAAAATTCTTACTATCAATTCGATATTTCAAAATTTTCGGGACGTCAAAAACACCGGGATCCCAGGATCCCCACTACACACACATATTTATGTACATATGTACATATTTCGCAAGTTGAGAACATTGAAAATTTTCATACCCGAGCGCACTTGTGCACAAGGGTATATTAATTTTGTTCACATAACGGTTGTTTGTAACAGCCAAAACGAATCGAGATAGATATAGACAAATGTATACATAAATGATCAGAATGAAAAGAGAAATCGATTAAGCGGTGACTGTCTGTCCGTCNAGGCTCAGACTGCAATTTAAAAGTACAGTTTCAAGCTTTTTGTTAATTGCAGTCATAACGGCATTTTACAAAATCATACTTGAAAATTCATAAAAAAATTCTTACTATCAATTCGATATTTCAAAATTTTCGGGACGTCAAAAACACCGGGATCCCAGGATCCCCACTACACACACATATTTATGTACATAT